CCCCAAAACCCCAAAACCCCAAAACCCCAAAACCCCACACTTGACAAAATCAGTTGAAATAAATTAATAATGACTGAAAACTCAAATAAGGCATCAGGTACGTTCAAACTAACTGATTCTTCTTTAGAAAAAGGATCTGAACTCTGGGATGAACAAGATATTTATGACACTAGAAAGAAAAGCTCAAGAAGCTCCAAGCGGAACCATTGGCTCCCCCAAGTAATCAGTTCTATATTCAAAATCTAATATTTTAGGAAGACGAAGCTATTACTAAACTAGTTAACAGGTTTGGAACAAAGCAATGGAAGACTATTTCTAAAGAATACTCCAAGATCACTAAGAATAAGAAGAGGAGTGCCAAACAGTGAAGAGAAAGGTGGCATAACCACCTTGATCCTAAGATTAACAAGGAGCCAATCACTCTTGATGAAGAAAGGAAAATCTTCGAATACCACCAGAGATTGGGAAACAAATGGGCTCAGATTGCCAACATTCTTGATGGAAGGTAAGCTCACTGGTTGCATGGCTAATTTTTCAGAACGGACAATATGATTAAGAACCAGTTCTACAGTACGCTCAGGAGACAGCTTCGAAAAATCAATAGAATAATGCAATGAAATAAATTTGTCGAACTTATTGGGGGTAAAGTCAAGGCGATCACCCAAGACGAGCTTTACAAATATATCAAAGATGAAAAAATAGATTATGATGATATCAAAAATGTTTATTCCCGAGCTATTTCTAATTCACAAGATTTACAAGTCCAGAAGCTCAAATGTGAAGCCATAGCTGAGACTAAGACTGAGAAGAAGCAAGAGCAACGCTGATCTCTCAAGAACAGAAGGTCTTATAGGCTAAGTAAGAAAGAAAAGGATGACAAAGAGGATGACTACAATCTTACCAAAGTTGGATTCCTGACTCTATTCAAAATTCTTAGGGATTTCAGAATTAAACACAAGGATAGCCTGCACACTTTCGCATCACAAAGTTCCTGAGATTCACCGAGATCTTCAGCTGGTAAAAGTTTAGAATGCACTATTAAGAACAAAAGGAGCAAAAATGAGGAATCCAAAAAGGACTCTAAGCAAATCGAGCAAGAAGATCTAAGAGATAGTAGTGACAAGTTCATTGAGAAGTGCTCTAGCCCAACAAATCGGGAAGTCTGGCCAAAGAGATATTAAAAGTGTTCTCCAAAATGCAACTTAGCGAAGATGATGAACCATATGTTCAAAATAAGGAGGCTCTTGAAGGGAATCCTAGTGAAGACATGTCTAATAAATTTGCGACCAGCAAGTTTGGGCAAAAATTCAAGATAGACACGAGCCCTCTTGATGAAAATTTCAGGGATATAAGCGAATTTGAGGATCCCAAAAGCACAGAATTAATTAAACCATCTAAAACAAAGAGCCAAAGTGAAGATAATATAGAGCAAAAACCGGATATGGAAGATTATCTAAGGATGAATATTAGTCCTGAGAAAGAGTTTAAGTCAAAGATGGTTGACAGAGACCCCTCTATTGCTTCAAATATCTCCAATACCTTTGGTTACAACCAAGACGATTTTAATCCTTTTGGCCAGAAAAATATGAATCTTTCTAAACCGCAGGAAATAAATTTTGATAATTTGAAAATGAACCCGAATGCCTCTTATGTTGGCCATATGATGAGTAAAATCAGTGATAATTCAAAACTTTTCAATAAGCAAGTAAGTCTGACTCTGAACTTCATAAACTACGATATGGTTTCTCCAATGGAATCGGACAATACTAATATCTATGACCTGAATCAACTAAGCGGGAATTTGAATATTTCATTAACTAGGAATAAAAGAATTGAACTTGAAATGATTGATGACACTCATGTGCGAGTAAAAACTAGTTCTAAGAGCTCATCACTAAACTCTGGCGATAAGAAGGACGCTTCAATCCCTATGAATATTTCAAGGCTGAATCAAGAACCTTCATTTTCATTGATCCCAGTTTCTTATCCTTCATTCCCGAATGAGATGATGAATAGTAATAAATTCAGCCAATTTGTGAACAATCTTAAATCGGGCGACCAGGGGTGTTCTTCCAGTAATCTGGAAAGCCCCTTATTGCCTAAAAAGCTCTCTGAGAACCAGTAGAAGCTTTTCATAATTTTAGGACTTCAGACACGCCTATGATTCTAAAGGTGTGCATTTATTAGACCTTAGGATGAGGAAGAAAAAATCATAATTTGGAGAGATGAGAACTTGTAGTTCTTCCATCCCCGTTAATTACTAAAACTTCTTTTCTGCCCTCAAATCTGATACGACATAAACTGCAAGCAGAATTCAATGCTATTGCAGAACGAAGGGGTTTTGGGGTTTTGGGGTTTTGGGGTTTTGGGG